GAAGACGTTTTCTTGGGTATTCTATTTCATCTGTTTTGATATTAGAGATTAATTAGAAAAGAATTGTTTTCACAAACTAGGATCCATCCTATCAGAGTCTAGGGCAGTTTTCAGAGGATACTTTAATACTTAACAAGTATAAACAATGTCCTATGCTTCATGTTAAAGCTTTGCATTCATTACCTTATTCAACTCTCCTACTTGAGGAGGATGTGATTATAATCCCCAATTTATAGAAAGGGAAATTGATGATTAGGAAATACGTTTGTTCTCTATTTCCTTCCAGATTTATTTTCTGCATTTTTCTCCCCTGTTCTGCACCCTGAGGTCCAGTCTCTAAGTGAGATAGGATATGTGGCGAAATAGATACAAGAAATAGATATAATCGATAAAAGCTACAGGAATTGTGAAGAAGATAGTAAGATCCCCCCCCCCCCCCCCCACCACACACACACACTTGGGGACTATTAGGTTTGGGGTGTACTGCTAAGAAGCTTTGCTAAGCAAGTGGAAGAAGGATGTGGTGCCAGGAAGTCTGAGAAGCTGAGAAAATTTTACTTAAAGATAGGAACAACTGAAAAAAAAGGCAGTTTCTAATTTAACCTTGACAGAAGGACACTTTGGTATTGTTAAACTTCTCTATAGCCACAAACACTCTCTCTCTCTCTCTCTCTCTCTCACACACACACACACACACACACACCAGGGGTCCTACTGTGCACCCAGACCTGCCTCCTGGGTTTGGCCATTTGGGCAAAGTCTGGGCAGCCCCATTGGCTGCCTGGACCTGGGCGTCCCCTGTGAAGCCTGGTCCCTGGGGAGGTGAGTGCCCTCCCTTTGGAAGGGCACAGGAGCCACAGCAGCCTGGTGTTGTGGGGATGGGCTGGCTGGTTTGGGGAAGGAAGGAACCCCTGTCCTCCAAAAACAACAAGGGATTTCCAGACCTATGCAGAGTGTCTCTGAGCCCTCCCATGACACACGCTTCACCCCTCTGGCTCTGTCCCCAGCCGCCACACTCTGGCCCTTGAAGCAGTTGGCCACACTGTGGAACTGAGTGACAGTGGCCCCGGTGGTGGGAGCCAGGTGTTCCTTGCTCTTCTTGTCCAGCTGAGAACAGACGGAGCCCAGGCAGTGGTGGGCACTTTTTTAACAGCTCCTGGGAAGGAGGGGAGTGTCACCGGGCTCTCTCACACTCGGGACCAGCATCCAGTCAACCCTCTCCCCAGTCCCAGGGAGCGTCCCTGGTCAGTGCTAGAGTCAGGAAGCAGAGCAACACACACACACACACACACACACACACACACAACTATCTTGCAAATATTAAGAAACAACCTGAATCCAGAGTGCAAAGAAAATCAAATTTTTAATACTATTCCCTTACACGATCAGTTTTTCGGGTTGCATCACATTTGGCCAGGGTTTATGGATACAGAGGATGGATATCATTGATAAGTCAAAATGAAACTGACCACTGTGGATTGTCATAGAAGATTATTAAAGACTCACAAGTTATCACTCTAGCAGTGGAAACAACTTTGGTCTCCAACAGCTTTTCTGACTGCGAGAGAACTTCTATAAAAGATACTTCAATAAATTAAAAACTTTACCTTTTTACCCAAGCTCTTCCTCCTGGCAACACTAATGATTTCAGTCTGAAACTGCCAAAATGTATTCTTTTTTTTAAATAAAAGAAAATAGGTTTTGATGGGGTTTGTGACTTATCTTTAATAAAATTTAAAAAAAGTTGTGAGATGAGGCAGAATTTGTGGCTTAAGGTAGTATATTTTTTTGGGTAAGATTTAAATTTCAGTTTGTTTACAGGACTTCTCTTAGAAGTGAGTTTTAAAAAAATATTACATCAATAGACCCCCTTAAAACCTATGTAAAATTTTATGTGTGTGTGCATTTTTCTGGGAAGGGTCTAGTTTCTTCATGACCACAATTTAAAAAATACTGCCTTAGAGTACAGAGATTATGAATAAAAATCTACCAACTATTACTGCAAACAAGGTTGGGATCAGTGTGGTACAGAACTTTTAAGACAGAATAATCTCTTAATATTTACATAATTGCCATCATTTAATAATATCAGAAGAGTTGGTAATCATATTAATCAGGGGTAATAAAGCTGAAATTTTTAGGAAAGCCATTTCATAATGATAGAGCATATTCAGTTATTTTGTGATTTTTTTTTTTTAAAAAAATATGTTCTTTTATTATGCCCTGACTGGGAATCGAACCATGACCTTCTGGTTCATTGGTTGATGCTCAACCATTGAGCCACACCAATCAGTTAACTGTGATTCTTGGTCTTTAAGTCAATTATTATGAAACTAAACTTTGAGCAATTCTACCTTGATTGTTTCTAGAGTTTATAACTTATTCCAAATAACAGGATCTTAATTTGACTTATCCATAAAATCCCCCCTTTACTTTGTATTTAACAGTTCTTTACAACTTAGATTGAAAAGGATGGGAACTAAGTTTTTAAAACCACTTATTATTCAAAGCATTTCCTTTATTCCCAGTGAACTGGGAATGCAAAAGCTCGGCTGTGGCTCTTTCTCTATGGCTGACTCTGTAACCCACAGTGAGAACTTCTGGTACCAAG